CTCTTAAGAACTAGAAATTCTCTCGCTCTCTCTCTCACGAGTGCAGAGAGAGAGAGAGAGAGAGAGAGAGAGAGAGAGCGAGAGAATTTCTAGTTCTTAAGAGACGACAAGAATAATATATAAAACTTTATTCAAAAGAATTATCTCAACAAATAATGGCACAAAAAATAAGTCTAAAGTCTTATAACGATTCACAGGAAATACTATCAAAAATTTTTACGAAATGAACTGAAATAATAACTACATTTCACAATCGGACACGAAATACGGTTGCATAATATAGTGTACCCCTGTTTATATGAACAATAAGTACAGTCCATTATACCTATGCATACGTGTCATTAGATATTAAACCCGCCAATAAATTATCAAAAATATATTATTTGTATTTTAGCCAAACATCTAATCTAATCAACAAATTCTTCAAACAATTGACTTTTCAAACAAAAGTTTAATTTAGACTTTCATTGAATACACGAAACGGCACTCAAAAAACACTTATAGTAGAGACAGAAAGTCACAAAATTTCAATACCTATTGTCAATATCGTTGAGATTAGATAAGACAATGACATGTACTGTACAACACGGGGACCGGAGCCCCGGGAGTTCACACACCCATCACTATCATTGGCCACTCAATAGCGGCGGGAATATGTGGGAGAATGGGGCGCATACTCGCACATGGTACACGTACATTCACCATGGTGCAATTTTTACCGGTAAAAATGTGCGCGCGATTGCACAGGTATGGGTACACGTATGAACACACCTACCTTTCCTGGTATACAATACACTATAACAGATAGGGTAGAGATAAAGTGCCATAAAAAGGGACAGACATCTCACACACAACCACCACACAAGTCAAGCCACACACTAACTGGTGATTATCATTATTATTATCCCATAAACATCTCACTAACCACTAAACACAATGGCTGAATGGCACCCGTACTCCGGCGGCAACGTTCCCGGCAACGCAGTGGCCGGCGGTAACGACGTGAACGGCGAGACCATATACGTGGGCCGAGCGCACGAGTCCGGCGACCTGATCCCGGGCAAGATTGTGCCCTCGCATGGCGTTTGCTACGTGGCCTACGCCGGCGACGAGAAGAGTCACCGCGTGTACGAGTATCTGGTGAGCCCCGCGTACGGGTCACTCATCTGGCGTACCGCTGCTGATGGACAGATACCCTCCGGTGCCGTTCACGGCGGCCGCACGTCCGACGGCGAGCCGCTGTTTGTCGGCAGAGCTTATTACGAGGGCTCGTGGGTATTGGGAAAGATCCAGAAGACCCATCAGGTCCTGTACGTGCCCTTTGCCGGCAAAGAGGTGGCCATCTCTGACTACGAGGTACTCGTAGCCGACTATTAGATTACCACATATCATATGAGTTCACCGGTATTGGTCTGATATAACATCTTTCTCTACCCGTGCCGTGAATTATGCACTTTTTTGAATTATTAGTTACTAGTATTTAAATTATAAACCGAATATGTATTTGTTTTTAATATGTATTTTTGATTATTATATTTTTTAAATTATAAAATATGTTTTTTATTCAATTTTTTGATTGCAAAATGAATTAAAAAGTTTTTTAACGTTATATAAAAGTCTATTTATTTGGTATCAAATTTTATGGTATTTTATTTTATAAGATCAGAAAAATAAGTGTCAATAGTGTACGAGTGGTCTAATACCCCGCTATAACGCAGTGGATAGATATCTATAACGAACTTTGTTATTGATTTAAGCCTTAAGAGCACCGGTCGATCACCAGTACTGATCCCACCATCAAATCCTTGGCAACTAATACCACATTAGATAAGAGTTAGCTTACAGTTAATACTTATAAACTTTTGTATTGTTTTCTATAACTTATCGATAAAATAATACTTAACAATAAAAAATAAATTTATTTTTCACATAACATATGCAAACAGTATTCACATTAAATGCAATCTCACGACACAGGTAGGGGTAGCCAAGGGATGGAACAGGTATTACATGATAAAATGCTGATCCATTTATACGATTATACAATTCATTACCAATAATATCGTGAAATATAATTAAACTTATTTTTCTTACATTTTTATCCTTATTTTCATTTCGAAACATTGGGACAAAATTATAGCACATTTAAGTGTTTAATACAATATTATTAATATTATATTAATACTACAGTATTTACTATAAGTTAATTATAAGTTATAATTTATAACTAATGTTAATTAATTATTAATGCCAATAATTGTATAATAGTCTGTACACTATTCGCGAATTACTAACAATAGTTAAATAAATACTAAAAGTCAATGTAATAATGTTAACAAGGTTGTTTGCAATAACGGGGTACATAATATCGATGCTTTAATCACCTTTATTTTGCTGGTCTAATAGTACGGCAAATAAAACAATATTTTTAGTTAAATAAACAAAACAATAATTTATTTATAAAAACGAGATTAGATTTACATTTGGAAACGGATTACAAGCCATAGCCTCAAAGAGCCATCACTTGTCACCAGAAACTGTGGCCGAAATCTTGTCAAACATTTGCCGAATATGTTTACCGCCTCTGTTTCGGCGGCGTTTCTTATTGGCTGAGCGCTGATCACCACCACTACTACCGGCACTAGTCTTAGGGGCAGTTGACTGCTGTCCAGCCATAGGTTTCTTCGTCTTCTTCTTACAGGACAGAGGATTGGGTCCTTTCGTGCGCTTCCGCTTCGGCCGTGGCTTAGCCTCCGAGTCGTCGTCATCCAAATCGTGGGCTCTCTTCAACTTCTTCAACACATCCATTTGGTGATCCACGTGTTCATCGCTGGCCTCCTGTTCCCGCCGTTCCACAGCCTCCCGGACCGTGTCGTGCGGTTTCTGCATAACCATAGCGTTGCCCCTCATGTATATCAACGGACAGCCGACTGTCGACCGGCGTATAGCGCGGGTCAGCACCAGGTCTTGAGTGCACAGCATATAGTGGTCGGAGTTGTTGTCGGCGCAGATCAGCTCTCGTAGGCATTCGCTCGCATCGATCGGTGACTTCTCGTGACCGCAGCGACGGATTGGGAACTGTTTGATGATAAGCATCGCTCCGTATAGTGACTGACCTATCGGTGCAGAAATCGGGGGCAAAAAAAGTGCATTAGATGTCAATTATTGTTTGTTTTGAACACAAAATACTCACTCAAACGCTGCGCCTCCTGAACGACGCAAACGGTGGTCAATAGTTTGCACTCTTGTGATAAGTACTTCGGGATCTGTTCGGTGATGTTCACCTTATTGTTGAGACAAAACTGACAAAACGTGGCGTCGATCAGCACCTGATAGGGGGCCCGAAAACCGCACGAGTTTTTGTAAAACTGTATGTATTTCTGGACCCGTTTATAGCGTTTCACTTTCATTATGACTGTGAATGTGTTGTAATTGTTATTACAATTAATTAAATGAGTTTTAATTTAGTTATAATTTATAACACAATTAACACATTTAATAACATGTTTTTGATTGAGCGCTGAAAACACGTGCCGTTTGTAAACACACTGTGAAAGTGGCGTAACGTTTGTTGTGAACGCTTTGCTTCAGATGGCGCTATCTGTGCGCCCATTGGTTTGCATTAGTGTTCATAAATAACGTGTACTTTATTAAGGGGTAGAGAGTGTGCACTATTAACACTGTTTTGAGTGCATTTTCACTGCAATACAACTGCTTTCATAGAAAAACATTGATTGTGTTTTGTACGGAGTTTAGTGATAGACAGGGAAGCGAATAGTATTTTAAAAGGGGATATAATTTACTAACTTTTGTTTAATTAAAGTTGATGTGATAATTATTTCACTTTTAAAGTTTTAAATGCAATTTTAGTGAAATAAATATTAATTTTCATTTATATTAATTGAGTTGTGATTAAATTGTTTCGATTTTGTTGTAATTGTTTATCGTTTGCCTATTTTTTGTGTCACAAAATTTGTGAATATATTGACTGAACTGTAAATTACATCTCGTTTTGTGTTCAAACAATGCTTTCAAACCTTTTGTCTATAAATTGCGGCAAAAGTTTTATTTTGTGTGAAAATGGTTTTGAATTGAGTTTTAAAATTTAAATCTTAATAAGTGTTTGAATTGAATACTCGTAATGAGTGGTGAAGTGGAAGTGCTGTCAGAGTGTGTGGACACATGTGTGGACACAATCGACGAGTCGATG